CATGGAGGAGCGGCGGGTGGCGGAGCCTCACACAAGTAATGCTTCGAAATTTTTTTTTTAAAATATCAAAGACACAATTTCTGTGTTTTTTATGTTTTGAAAATAAGCCTCATGTGTTTAAAAAACAAAATAATAGAAAAACTGAGTAAACACATTATTTTTGGGTTTGGTTTTTTTTTTCAAAAATTAAAAAAAAACCAAAAAATAGAAAGTTATTTCAAATAGGCCTTAGTTTTCCACCCAGGAGATCTCTTTATTTTGGAACTTTTGAAATTTGACATCTCAGCTCTGACTTTCATTTAATAACATGCTAGGATTTGCTTCTCTACCCCATACTCGTTCATGATTTGCTAGACTAAGAATTTTGTGTTGCTTGTGAGGTATATTGGAGCTCATACTCGCCAAGCTCAATCATATACTTAATCTTCTTAAAAGCTTAGCTTTCATTTAGCATTCGAAGGTTTATTTGTAGCAACTTGAACCGAGTGAGATTTGATCTATGGAAAGAAGCTTTGGATTTATGAATAAGGGCAAAATATATTTAAAGAAATCTCTATATTTTTGAGGTGTATACCTGTGTCCAGATTAGTGCTTGAACTAAAATTACTAGCACGATGAACATTACTCCATTCCAAGTAACCCCAACAAATTGGCTTTCACTTATTATTTGAATATGATATATATTCTTTCACATGAACATACTTGGATACAAAAATAGGCAAGTATCTATCTTAAAGTTGTGTCACTGCACTTTTCCCATACTTCCAATGCAATAGCCCATATCAACATCTGGGGATATAAAAAATTGATTTGGCATGCCAACTTGACTATAAAATTTGGGCTTGGGTTGGCCCAAATAACTTTTGGGTCGAGTTTGAGTTAAAAATTCTAATTCATTTAATTTTTCGGGTTGGTTCAGGTTGACCCATCAAACTTAAATTGACGCGTTAACCCAAAATTTACTCAAAATTGACTAGCCAACCCTATATTAACCCAAGATTGACCTGAATTTGAGCTAAATAGTTATCTTTTATGTTAAATAGGCTATACAAAATTAGATTCGGGTCAGCGGGTTGAAAGTGGGTTAGGTTTGGGTTGGATTTTTTGACTTGTTTAATATTTGTGTCGGTTTTGGGTTAACTAGTTTCATGTTATTCCAATTTTGGGTCAAGCTCGAACCCAACCCGTCAACTCGATTTAACATTCTATCGACACCACATTCTTCCTTACCTATTTTTTTCATTGAGCTATCATGAGATCATTCACTTCACTAATCTTCGCGACATTCCATAAGCATTAAATGGATACCAGAGCAGCACAAAAGGATGGGGATGAGGAAGGGAGAAAGAAGAATGTTGAATGAAATATCTTAGAGCTAAGAGAGGAAGAAGTGTGGGGGATTCCTCTTCTACTTTTAAACTCCACCATATATTGGCGGCCTTAAGGTTCCAATGCTTTGGGTTAATGTTCTTAATTAGGAATGACAAGCGTTATCAATGTTGTCAATGAAAGGTGATGATGAGCATTTAGAATTTGACATTGGCATACATTTGGTGTGAAGGTCGATGGGAATGGTTGTTCGTGGATATTGGATGATGCTTATCTTTGAACATTCAATGTCGATCAAAGACATTAATAGGTATTGGGAGGTAGTTAGCTTAGTTCGTTTGTGTTAATGGAGGATTGAGAGACTTTGCCGGCAAATTTAGCATTAGCGAACATCAACCATTAGCAGACATCAAACATCGAGAAATAGTTGGCACGATTGCTCTCTTTAAAAGGTTATAGGGATTGAGTGACTTGGCATATGCAATTATGCTTGATATTATGGGAAAACACTGTTTATGATTGGTGATGACATATATCATTGTTGGTCATCAATTGATATTAGTGTTAGGAGAGGGCTAGGATGTCTATCAACAGATCTCGATTGACTGCAATCATTTGGTGACATTGGTCAAAAGATGTTTTATGGATCTAAGAACACTAAGGTGATCATTTGGTGGAAGCAGTCAAAACTTAATAATATTCTCTTCGATTTTTGAGCAATCTTGGTTAAGAAATGTAAAAAAAAAAGAAGTAGATTTAGTTCATTTTATAGAACTTGAGGGAGATAGTTTATTCTTTATTTTGAATTATTTGGTTATATTTTTCTTTCTTATCAAGGGTGGATTCACCATATTTTAGTTTAGCTGTTAATTTTACAAGGAAATATTGCCTTATGTAGACTATTTTATATGCATATAGCCATTATAAGGATGGACTTCTAATGAGATACGTCCACATAATTAAATATTAAGGGCTCATTTGACAGGGCTTCAGCTTTGGGAAAATTTCGGTTAAAAGCTAGATCTGAAAAAGCTCCGTTATAAAATAACCAAATGTGATGGTTGTTTGAATATAAAATTTGGCGTGCATTTTTTAATGCTATTGTAGATGTTAAAAGACTATACTAACCCCGTCACCTTTGAAAATTCATCCGCCAACTTGAATCGTTCTTCTCTACAAGCTGACAAGCTATCAGAGTTTTTGGTTCTTCTGTTCTTCTATTCGATCCAAAGTTCGGTGTTTCGAGTAGCACACCTGTAACTACATCCAAACATGAATCATCACCCCCACCATTGGCCTATCGTGGCACTGGAGGCACACATTGGTGGTGGACACCTTGATTTGTTGTTGAAGCTCGATCGGACGATCTTCATACACACATAAGACATATCAAAGCTATTGTCAGAGGCAGGGACCATTCCACATAGCAGAATTGTGTCATCGGTCGAGAACCGGTCATTTGACTAGCCGTCTTTGGATTCTCCGGTGTACACACTGTAAATACCGTGTTAAATGAGGACTGAAAGGTGTGTTAAGTCTTCCATGGCTGATTACATGGAGGCGGCAGCGGAATCCGACAGGATTACAGATATGTGGAGGACAGGATTACAGATATGTGGAGGACGAATCAGGGAATACTGAATGATCCCAACAGCTATCTGAAATGGCAGAACAAAGGGCTGAAGGTGCAATCCCAAAATGGCGAAAAATGATATTGTAACAGACATGTTTCTGAAGAATTTGATCCTACAAGCGAAAAGCTGAACTATTTTTGTGATGAAACGGAGCCAGGACGTCCTCTCAAACGAGGCCAAAGTCTATCATTTGCTTGCATTTTTGCACCTAAACTTAGCGGTTATTGCCAAAAGATAATTGGAAGAGATTTGTGAAATTACATTTTGTAGGAATTAATAAGTTTCGTGGATGTTATATCAGTATATAACTACACAAGCATGAATTGGTTCAAATGAAATGCGAGAAATATATCTTGGATATGCGCACTGTATTTGTAAAAATAATTAATAGCTTGTATTTTATTGCTTGGATTCACCAACCTGTATCGTCGATCAAAGGGAAGGATGACATAGTTCTTCAACCGAGGAAAATTTTCGTCAACCATTACCCCAAATACTGGGAGGAAACTACTTGAAATCGCCGCAACATTCCTCGTCTCTCTCCTCGATCCTCTTCGAGCCTGCAACTTCATTGACCCAATCTCTGCTTCCATTGAAATCTCTTCCCCTCTCTTCCTAAACTTGTCAGAAGTTACATATATAATCTATGTCATTTTTTGTCAATTAGCAGTTGCCTGCTTAGCAGAAACAATGGGAAGGTGTTAGAAATTGGAATATGTTCTGTCAAATGGCTTCTGTCCCAAAGAGAAATTTACACAAGAGTTAGGCAGGTATGGAGGCAAATGGATAATCCAAGTAGTAAGTTGTCCGAAGGCTGTGCAAACGTCAATTTGAGAAAATAAAGGTGGGCGGCTTTTGATTTTTCAAGGAAAAAAATAGGTCAATTGGAAGTAGGGACATTTACATATATACCTATCTAATATATAGACTTTACCTTTTTTTTTTTTTTTTTTTTTTTTACATTTATACCTTCTAAATGTTGACTATCACATAAAAAATACCATCACTTCGTGTTTTAAGAAGTGGAATACACCTTTTCATGCATATGTAAGATGGTATGTATGTAAATCTTCCTTAAAAAAATTGATATGTGATATTTTTATCATAATTAAGGGAGAGTTACATGCATATCACATAGGTCTTGTGCATTTATATGTATGCAAACATGTATATTTTAATATTTATGCTCATGTGGGGGTTCAAATCTCCTCTGACACTGTTGACTTTAAGGAGGCGTTGCATCGAATTGTTAGACACATTAGGGGTGACTGGAGGCTCGTATGATAGCCTCTCTGACTCTCTGACCAAGGATTTATATCTGTAAATAGCAAAATCTATGTGTTATATTTGTAAATATATAAGAATGTTTTGTAAATCTTCATAACTTGATTGGCAGGAAAATTAAAAAATTGTGAAAATACTTAAAAGAATAGAATGAATGTTATAAAAAAATCAACACAATAATATTTTTTTTTTTTTTTTTTTGGGGATTGTTAGAATAAAGTTTATGGTATTGAAAGCTCTAAAAATGTTTTTTATGATTAATTAAATTATTTTGTAAATTTAATGATTAATAAAGCTCAGATCAAGTTTCTTTAGAATTCTTAATTATATATCATTCTTGGTTAAAAATAAATTATTAAATCAAAATTAAATAGATTTTTTGAATTAAATTTATAAATGTTGGTAATGAAAATATTTTTATTAATAAAATTAATACTAAAAACATTTTTTTAAAAAAAATGTATTACTTTTATAATATTTGTTATTTAAATTACTAATAAAATTGAAAATTATATATATATATAACCCCTAAATTTTATTTTTTTATTTATGCCACGAAAGTCTTTCACATTAGAAATTAAAAAAAAAAAATCCACCATTTTAATCTTCATGAATTGATGCACCGTTTTATGCGTAGGCAGGATTTATCATTTGTTTGTAAAAATTGGAGCTTACTTGGTAGATATGTCAATACCTAGAAAATGAGCTGTATGTATGTAAACCTTCCTCTTTTTATTTTATTAACTTTTTTATAGCCTAAGGAAGTAGGAAAAAATTTGGGTACGTAAGACGTACGCAGCGTTGTTTACATAATGGAGGTTATATGGGTGTTATATTGATATTATATTCACGTTATATCCGGTGCAACCTTTATATAACTTTCATGCAACCTACAAATATCTGAAAACAGTAGTGCGAAACTTATTTGTGAGTTCAGATATGTTAGAGGTAGGTTATACAGATGTTACATGGAGGTTACAAAAGATATAACGCAAATATAATGTCAATATAACGCTTATATAACCTCTATTATGTACGCAACGCTACGTACGTCTTACGTAAGCAAATTTTTTCCTAGGAAATAGGATATATAACAAAAAGTGAATTATTGTAACAACCGCTGAAAGAGTAGACTTATGTTATATGTGAGGAGTAATTAAATAATGCTATTAAATGCATTAACATTTGATTTTATTTTCATAATTAGTTGTTTTATGATAGGTGAGTGAGCATTAGAATTTTTTAATTTATTTGGTTTAATGAAGATCAAAATAGATTAAAAAATCAAGGCCGAATATTAAAATTTTTTAAGCCCCAATTGCTGTTCATAATTAATTTAATTAATAACAAATGATTCAATCAGAAGCACTAATTACTTCATTGAAATCCCTCTTAATCCTTAAATAGTCTTAAGTTAACATCCCAATCACTAATAACTTTTAACTGAATGTGTCAACATGTAAATTAACAGCATATTTTTGTTTCTATAACTGCAATTATGTCACTTTTCATTTTGATTAATTAAGATTTACTTTAAAATGTTGGCATGCTAATCACAAATCATCATTTATCATTTATACACCTCAACCAAATTTTCATCATTCAGCACAAATCTCGAAGCGTGATATGGCTCTAGAGTTAACTTTTTGAGCAAAAAAGTTTTAAATATCGATTAAAAGTCATCTAGAACTCCAATTTCAGCAAACTTACAGTCAAATTGAGTGGCTCGACAAGAAGAAGTCAATGTTACCAAAATTAGTTCAATTCTAGTCAAATCAGTCTCATATCAAGTCATTAAACCACTTTTGAAAATTTTCTGGATATATTTTGAATGTCAAATGAATATCAAATATAGCAAGTTTATAGTCGAATCGAGCATGTCGACAAGACGAATCCAACGAGCCTAATATTGCTCAATTTCGATATCGTTAAGACACTCGAATGTCCATCAAATATCGTTTGATAAAAGATTGTTCTTCGGATCGTCTGATCAAAATGGTTCATATTCTTATATTAATTACATCTAGAACAATATAAAGAGAGCCCCACCCCTCTCATGAGAGGGAGGAGAGCTTGAACCCCGAATAAAAGCTTGAAATTTTGAGGTGCTGAAGTCTAACATCACTCCAACACCACCCACCATCGTTAACTACGGTTGATGACCGTTGACCACCACAGACAGCCATCAAACGCCACATGCCAGCCTTCATCGATCAACATCAGCCGCCACTCACTTTTTACAACAAGTTTATTCGTGCAACGACTCAACTCGAAAGATTGTTCAACGTTTTCCTACTTGTGGGACAAGGGACTGCACATGTAATATCCAATTTATAATGAATTTTTTCAACTAGGCTAAGCCCCATGTTTTTTTCTGTTTACAAATTTTCCACGTAAAAATTTCTGGTGTCACTATTGATTGTTTTATTTTATCTGAGTATTTGTTAAATTCTCGTGCAATGTTAGAACAATAATGCATTACTCTAACACCACGAATTTTCTGGCAAGTATCAAGCATAATTAGTTCCTAAATAATGATTTAGTTGTAATTCCATTTAACAAGTTTGATTAAAACCTGTTAATCTTATTAAATAGGGGTAATTACACACATTGAACCCGAAACACTGCTATTTTATAAAATCTACCAACCAGTTTTAAGCCCTAAAACCCTCCCCGCTCTCGGACTTAAATCTCAATCTGCGCGCGAAGAGAGATCGTCGCTAAATTTCTGCTATTTTATCTTCTTTACTGGCATTCAATGGCTTCACAATGTTACTTCAAGCTGCGAAACCCTAATCACCAAAGCGATTTCAGCCAGGGTTGTCTAATTTACGAAGATTTCAATGGCGGAAGGATGTTGTCTCGTGGGAGCCAATAGGGAAGTGATAAATCCATTCACTCTTTTCGTCTCTACGACTCAGCTCTATCTCGTCCTCAGCGAAGCATTCTAGTCTTTCCAAGCCTCCGAGATGCCCATCTATAAAATCAGGGGAATTAATGTGGATTTCCCTTATGAAGCTTATGATTGTCAACTTGTATACATGGAAAAGGTCATACAATCTTTGCAGGAGGCAAGTTCTTCTCTCATGTTTACGTATAATTCGTCGTTGGCTTCCACAGGAGCTTCTCTTTTGTTGAGCACTTTGTGTTTGGTTTTAGATTTAGGAGTATACGGTCATTATCAGTTGTTCAATAGCTAAGGTCTCCCACATCATGTTTCCTTTTGGTCGGCTAATACATTTGAATTTTTCAGCCACTCTGGAGCCTGAGGTTCTGTTTGGCTACAAGTAGGATTTTTTAGCATGATTTAGTAAATCCTGGAAATCAGTATATAGAGAGGATTAAAATCTAAATATTGTTTGACATGATAACCATTGAAACTTGCTAAATCATGATAAATTGTTTGACTATTCTTTTTTTTTTTTTTAAGAGGGGGAGAAATTCTTGAATCCGTTAAGACTTCAGAATTGGGGGATTTAATAAATCACGGATTTAACCAATAATGATACTGAAATGAGATTTATCAAAAAAGGATTTAATACTCCCAAAAATTATATTTGGTAGGATTAAAGCTAATATTGCTTAAATCCTGCCTAAAATAGGACACCAAATGACCCCTAAGTTTTTTTTTTGGCTTAGTTATATTTAAGCTATCCAATTATGATGCAAAAACAGAAGATGGTGCAACTGAAAGAAATCAAACTAATTTATATATTCACGCAGATTGATCAAAGTGAAGACCAAAAAAGCTTGGATTGATATGCTTACCCCGTTGCAAGATCTAATGCATTATAATCAGTTTGTAGGCACAAGATTCACTTGAATTAGATATTAGAGAGACGAAAAATGGTTAGTACATAGTGAACTAATCTATTTCAGGCCAATGACTTTGATTGAGGCTGGTTCATTTAGTTACCATTTTTGTTTACAGTTATAATGGGAGGCTCTCTGTTTAGTTCCACCGGTCCTTCTCTCTGTGTGTAACATGGCGGTAGTCTCCAATCTTTTCCATGCGTGCTCAGTTCTATGCTATTCATTATTGGAAGATTTGTCCATTTGATATTACATTATTTCATGATTCATTTGAGATGCAATAATCCTTCCAAGTGAGGTTATTCCATGCAGAAAACAATAGATGACGAGTCTTCTTTGAATGATTTTAAAATTTTGATATTGTTTCTATCAACTAATGTCCTCTACCAGTTATTGTCTCACTGGATTAAGTTGTTTTTGCTTGTTTTAATTACATCAAACGCCATTCTGCATTTCAACTGTTAATTAAGATTTGCAACGCAGCTGCTAATTAGGATGGACAATTTTGTTGTTTCCTATGAGCCCATTCAAGTGGTGATAACCCTTTTCAAAATTATTCTTGCCAATTCAAACCCTTGAGATCTCAAGTTGTCACCCTCAATACACTCATAGTATCAAGATCTATGTTCTATTACATTCATAATACTGATACATAATATTGTTTGCAGTGAACTCCACTGTCTTTTGTTTAATTTTGTTTTCTTGGGTTAGTTCTAGTCAAGGCAGGTTAGTTGGGGGCAAGATTAGTTTCAATTATAATGTGGTTGTAGGAGGGTGCGATTCCTTATGTTTATTTTTGATAACTATGATGAATATTTTGGATAAGGATCATATTGGCTTTGTGAAATTATAAATAGTTATTCATTTTGTTTATTTATTTAAATTTTCCTCATATTTGAAGATTTCCCCAATTCTTCGAGAAATCTTAAGAGCATCTACTACTCTCAAGAATTATATCACAATTTTGCGTCATGGTAAGACTTGTGCTGCAACTATGACCATATCAAGTTCTGCATTTTATGTAGTTTTATTTCACAGTGAGACTTGCACTACTGCTTTATACTCCATTAAGTTCTTCATCACAATAAGATTGAACCATAATTGGTCTGATGTTGCAGCCTTGCATGACATCTTGATTAGTTTCACGATGATTCTTGCGTTGCAGCCCTTGTATCACAACAAAACCTATGTTACAACGCCATATTGTATCTAAATTTGTGTGACAATCCAACCCACAAAACTTGAGTTTTAGGCCCACAAAATATGAGTCGCAGCACTTGATCGCAAAATTTGCTCCCAGATTACATACTGGAATGCATTATTTTTGTCCATTGTTACTTGTTTTCGCAACTCCTTACAATGGTCGTTGTTTACACCAATAGTGCCAACTATCCTTGGACATTGTAACTACTGATAACAACTTTAGCAAGTCATACCCTTGCATTTTACTGACACCTCGGTCACATGGGGAAGAGTGGGTATCTTTTTGCACTTTTTATATTAGCTTTTGCTCACTAAAATTGAATTACAGCCTTTTTCTGCAAGACCAGCGCCATGATTAGTTGCAACTTTCTATAATGTCGTTATTGCTTGCATCAATATTGCCAGTGCCATTCTAGCCCCCAACTATTGAGGATGGCTTTGGAAACATATATTCTTGCATTGTATCAATTCATTCTCCAATAAGACGGCGAAGATCAAATACATTTTATTTCTCTTTATAAATGTGATTTGTTGTTCAACTGGGCGAGTATCACGTTTTCTCCTTTTAAAACATCTCCATGTAGAAAATTTTTTGTCATTAGTATTTTCTAACTGATTGTGCTATCAAGCTGGATTCTCACTCTTCTAGCTTGATTTACTGCACACAATAGTTTTTAATATCATAGCTTTCTCCTTTTTAGCATCTTATTCAATTGTTGTAAACAATTTGCTTAATATCTGCACTTAGACAACATTGCATTTTATTAGTGAGTTGAGATTATGAAATATAAATTTATATGCAAACTACAGAATAGTTACAAAGAACTACTTAATTGTTCTGAAATTCGTATTATCATTGCAGGGTTGTAATGCTTTGTTGGAGAGTCCTACAGGAACAGGGAAAACTCTTTGCTTACTATGTGCCACGCTAGCCTGGAGAAAGACGTTGGGCAACTTTTCACTGAAGGTAGATGAAGCCAAAAGCTGTTTTTCTGGTAGCCAACCGCCTGATAGTCAATCAACACAAAGTCCAAAATCAGAATTTCCTGTCATTATTTATAGTTCTCGCACTCATAGCCAGTTGAAGCAAGTCATACGGGAACTAAAAGCAACCAATTACAGGTAGAACTAAAATATATATTGTACCTTTCTTCTGTAATTGTTTGAATATCATACATAAATCTTATGTATAATCATAATTCCAATGCACCTAAAGGATTTTGAATGCCAGAACTATATTCTTCAGAGATTAATAGATTTCATGTAATTGTGACAAACTTGCAGGCCTCGAATGGGGATATTAGGTTCTCGGGAGCAAATGTGCATTCATGATGACGTGAGGCAGCTTCGTGGTAGAACGCAAAATGTTGCTTGCCACACCATTTGCAAAAAGCGGAAGTGTCGACATCACCTTAATGTGACTGGTAAATACCCAAATATTTTATATCACCTAAAAAAATATCACTATTTTAATTTTTAAAATGAAATATTCCTTTTCATGCATAGGTAAGACAATATATATATATATATATATATATATATATTCTATAAAAAGCCCAAGGGCTGATTTTATTGAAATAAAAGTATACATAAAGGTTGTATAAGAAGAGTCCAAAGAGGCACCCTACCCATACTATACAAGTACATAAAAACCCCAATAAAAGGTACAGATAAACTCAAAAAAAATTAAAAACAAATTTAAAACATGCAGAAAATAGTAGCTAGGGACGAGCCAGTTTAGTCTCGCATCTTCCTTTAGTTTTAGGAGCGGAAACATATAACAAGCTTTGAAGAGTCGTGTCATTGTCAGGAGTAACCAAAATATCATCCATTAAGTTTCCAAGTTGGAGTGAGCCCCCAAACTTCTTCTTCCGCCGAGAAGTGTAAACCTGATATTCTTCATCTGAAGACTGACTCATATGATCCTCGATCTAATTTGATGTTTGAACCACAATAGGAGGAAAGACAATCGTTGCCACCGCGATAGGTTTCAGTGTATGTGAAGTGTGAATTGTTACATCTGCACCTGATGCTTCCTGAATAGGAGCTGCGGGACTATTTTGATTTTCATTTCGAACATTATCCATTGTAGTATGATTAGGAGAAGGGATCCCAAGGCAGACATCAACTCTTGTCTTGTGGTGTTTCTCTCCTCATAATCCCTCCTCAGGTTGGTTGTTATCAGGTTTGCTGGGAGCAACATGGGGTGCGCTAACGGTGTATTCCTGTTTTTGACTATTAGTTCTCAACCGTGGGTGCAATTTGAAACATTTCTCCTACGGGTGTCCAAACATCTTGCAGTGCTTGCAGTAGTATAATTTTTGTTCCATAATGTTTTTTTTACCAATAACCAAGCCAAACTTCTTCTACATCCGGTAGTGTAATATCTCGTTCAATCAAAATCCTTGCAATAGTGGGTCTTGAGAAATGAACTGTAGGTAAATCTACCTGCAAATGTTTTCCAAGTATAGTCCCAATTGCATATAAGATAGGTAGATCAAAGAAAAGAAACTTGAGTTCAAGTAATGAGAACCAGGTAGGTGCAATTGGGGGTCCATTTGAGCAATTTTATATGTTTGCCCTCAATTGTGATGAATTTCTTTGAGAAAATCCTCGTGTAATCATCTTCTGTGCTCAACTGTATCATAATATGTCTTCCATCGAAATGACCCACCTGTCAATCCCCAACCAGTTTGAAATCTTCAAAAACCTTTCTGATCTTCATCTTCGGGCAACCTAATTGAAACTTTTCAACTAGTATAAGTTTGTATTTTCCTGCACGAGTTGGAATTTCAGCGTCAGAGAAGAAAATTGCTGGTTTGCCCGTCATTTTCTCTACTTTTTTTATGAGATTGCAATCGTCATTTCTTGCAATAGAATCATGGTAACTCTGCGGGAATACCACACTATCTGCGAGGTGAAAATGGGAGCTGCGTTTGTGAACCACTGTAGCATAGGAGGGTTTGGCGGGGTTATCACCGATGAGGGCAGTGGCGTAAGAAACCCCTGAGGCCATTACCGCAGCTAGTGCCAAAAGCTGCAGGATATGTCGTGGACGCCTACTCCAGAGGCTGAAACGAGCGGCTCTGTCACAGACTCGCGTGCTGAGCCTAGCAGAAAGACGAGCGGCTCAGACGAAGTCGAGCAACTCGCAGACGCTCTGAGCCGAGCAGACGAAGATCTGACTGTCACAGACGCAGATCGAGCGGCTTTGTCGCAGACGAGGCGTAGACAAGAATCACAACCCAGCCCGACGACGCGAATGGAAGCAGACCACCGAGACGAAGCAGGCGACGCAAGTCGACGCTGAATCCCGAAGCAGAAAGGAATCAACGCGAGACGCTAGGGTTCGCCATGGGGTGGAACCCTAGCATAGCGGAACGACATATTTTTCTCCATTATATGTATGTATATATATATATATATATATGTATGTATGTATGTATGTATATATTTCTGGTGTGATTATTTCTAATGTCACTGACATGCTTAAACCCTTGTAGAGTTCATGAAAAATCGTCAAGATATTGGCAATGATCCTTTCGACATAGAGGATCTGGTTAAGATTGGGAGGACAAAAGATGCGTAAGTTATCATATCCAAGCTCCAGAACACTTTTATTTAATTACATTTGTACTTTTGATGTGTTATTACTATTGCCTTGAATTGCTTTAATTTATGAGAGTCACTATTACACAGATGCCCCTACTACATAAGCCGCGAGCTTCACAAGGCTGTTGATATTTTGTTTGCACCATATAACTATCTCATTGATCCTGGAAACCGAAGTTCTTTATCCGGCATCTCATGGAGCAATGCTGTGCTTATTTTTGATGAAGCTCACAACCTGGTATATATATATGCATATTTACATTCAGACCACCTAAATTCTATGTTTTTACCTATCTAACATCTAGGCTTTTCTTTTTACGTTTATATCACCGAAAATTTTCATATCACATAAAATAACCACCTTTTAACTTTTAAAAAGTGATGCATGAGTAAGGTGGCATATATGAAAAAATTCAAATTTAGGTGTTACATACGCAAATTCATAAGATTTGAGTCATCTTTATGTCGATCTTCTTTTTTTTTTCTGTTGGTTAAAACTATACAAAAAGATTTACTTTTATTTATTTACGTGCCTATCATTAAACGGAAAAAGGTCCATTTTTATTAAAAAATGCGTCTATCAATGTCATATGGAATCTGATCGCTTCTTAGTTTGTTTTTCCCTATTGATTCTGTCATTGAGCTCACTGCTCTGCATCACTCTTGAGTAACTTCTTTTGTTTGTTTCTCAATTTAACGGTTATTGATCATATAGGCTTTCAAGGAATAATGCTTATTTCACTTCGTCTCAAAAGTGGCATCGGATTTCAATGTGATTTTTTTTAAAGAGTTCTCCAATTAATTTTTTTTGCTTATGAAATACAGCACGCTGATTTTACTGGCTTAATGGGCCTCTATACTTCTAGAAATGATACAATTCCTGTAAAAAGTTGATAAACAGTTGAGCATTAAATTTGCGGTTTTCAATTCTTTTATAATTGTGTTCTGACAGATGTGAAGATGAATATATTATATATTTTTGGGGCATTTACATACATGCCACTCAATTCTTATGTATTTACATATCGTGCTGTTAATTTTTACTTTTTTACTTTCATAGCACCCAAATCTTTCATATCACATCAAAGATGCACTATTTTAACTTTTAAAAGGTGAAATACACCTTTTCATATATAGGGAGGTGGCATGTATGTAATAATTGATGTTTAGGTGTTAGGATTTAAATACAAAATAATTAAATTGTATGTGTAAATCTTCCTATATTTTTTTACATGCAGGATAGCATATGCGCTGATGCAGCTTCATTTGACTTGCCCTCCAGTTATCTGACTGTTTGTATAACCGAAGCAAAAGAATGCATTGACCTTTGTATCGAGAAGAGGGCACTTGAAAGAGCAGCTGATAAACGATATGATCCGGAAACCTATTCTATTCTCAGAGGTATACATTTTGCGCAAACTTTCTGATGGTTGTGTTATGTACTCTAGTTTCACCGTAAGTGGTAGTTTCTCACTTCAAACCAATGCAATAAAGTCAGCATGTTAGAACTATATAAAAAATTAAATACACAAATTGAAGTCTGTTGGCATAGAAGTGAGTGATTAAGTTATAAGCTCAATATTAATTTGTATTAGTGAATAAGCACGTATGCTTATTATATCATATGATGAAGCCTTCAGACACAAGTCTTTACTCACTTATGTGACTGTAATTATAATGGTACAATGCTAATTGCGAGAGTATCTCAATTTCTAACCTTGAGTGTAATATTTGCTCCAACTCTATTGTATAGAAGCATTCGACATATAGATCATTATATAGACATTGATGTAAAGTGCAAGTGACTAAGTATAAGCTATAAAACAGATATACGTGATGATTTTAGTTAGTTCCATCCAAATCGACCTACATTATTGGTTAAACCTATCTCTAAGAGTTCTACTTGAGCATTCTTTAGTGGTGTTGTCCCCTTTTGTCATGAGCTTGTCCGAGTGGTGGAAATTATCAAGGCAATAACAAATGATTTGATGGTAAAATTTAAATTTCAATTACTGGCATTGATTAATGAAAATAATTATTCAATAAATTGGAAGTCACTGATATATAAAATTCAAACTAAAGAAATACAAAGCAATTATTAGTATAAGTAACTCTCTCTTTTTGGACCATGTCTATGATAAATGATTTTTCTTTTTCCACTTATTTTTATTGCAAGAGTTTGTTCTCAAAGTATTTGTTTAAAATTGTTGTGAGTAATTAACAGTTTAATATATATTTTTATATCTAAAATTACTATAACATAATATATATTTTTATATCTAAAATTACTATAACATAGAGAAAATATGAATGCACAATGAATGATTGTTAAATTTAGTACAAAAATAAGCCTTGATGCGAAGCTTTTTTCTGGGTTGCGACACTGTAGCAGCAACTGTGCTGCGGATTCGGTACTGTAGCTGCTACAGTATTGCGACCCAAATTTCCTCTCATCTTTTTTTTCGTTTCCTTCTCTCTTCCTTTCTTTTTTTATGATTCTTCTATTTTATTTCCCACTTATTTTATGCTTGCCTTTTCTATTTTCTTCCTTTTTCATGAAATCTCCTATTATAAATCTATGTCTATTATACTACTTCTTTTTTATTTTATTTCCTAATTGAAATCATTGTCTAATATAAGTCCTAATCCCTCTTATATATAGGGGTTGTTTTTGCTTAGAAAAAGAGATTGAGATGAGTGTAGATTTCTGAGTGTTGTCTTTGAGGCATTCTTCTCTCTGGGGGATGTATTCGACAGTGAGTAGATGCTTCGGCTGTAACTCTTCCGAGGTGATGACTGTCTCCAAGGGTTTGGGTGGTGCTCTGGCTGTCGCTCGGCCCCGAAGGGACATTTATATTTCCGCATTCCCTTATTGGAGTCTGTGTTGTGTCTTTATGTTTGTGTTGTTGTTTTGTTGTCGTTTATTTCATGTTTTGACGAGTCCTATTTCAATCTTTGAAATTTAGCAATAATATTACTATTTCTGTTGTGATTTGGGGCTTCCTCCTGTATCATTTGGTATCAGAGCTAATCCAACCCTAGTCCTATCCTAAAGTTTCCTAGATCAGTCCCTACCCAAACCGCCCCCACTAAAATTTTTCTACCCTAGAAGATTCGATGAATGAGGTTGAAGCTTCTCCAACCCCGGGAGATTGACGTGGCAACTTTTGTCGAGTTGCGGCACTGCAACAGCAACAGTGCAGTACTGCGGTCCAAATTTCCTCCCCTTACTTTTTCGTTCCCCTCTTTCTTTCTTTTCTTTTCTACGATTCTCCTATTTTATTTCCTACCTCTTTCATGCCTGCCTTTTCCATTTCTTTCCTTTTGCATGAAATCCCCTATTATAAATCTTTGCTTATTCTATTTCTTCATTTTTATTCTAGTTTCTAATTGAAAGCATTGCCTAATTAAGTCCTAATCCCTATTATATATATATGAGCATTTTTTGCTTGGGAAAGGAGATTGGGATGAGTGCAAATTTCTGAGTGTTACCTTTGAGGCATTCTTTCTCTTCAGGGGCTGTATTTGATAGCGAGAAGGTGCTCTGGCTGTAACTCATCCGAGGTGGTGACCGTCTCCAAGGGTTCAGGTGGTACTTTGGTTGTAGTTCGGCCCCGAAGAGACATTTTATGTTTTTGCAACACTTATTGTAGTTTATGTTGTGTCTTTATGTTTGCGTTGTTGTTTATTTCCTGTTTTGATGAGTCATGTTGTAAACTTTGAAATTCAACAATAATATTATTATTTTTGTTGTGGGTTAGAGTTTCCTCCGACATCAAGCCTTTATCCCACTAAGTGGGGTTGGCTACATAATCCTTTTTCTCCAGTGTGTCTTATTGAGTGCCATCTTTTCATTTAATTCTAATAGATTAAGATAATTTGTTATACAATATGCCCAAGTTATTTCAACACAAACTGTAAACACCTTGGCAAGCAAATTCAGTACAATTGAAGTTCATTTCTTCATAATGTGATTTTGAGAAGATGGTTAGATTGAGTTCAAATGTTGTACATTGGTTGTTAGGGTCATGTCACATCTTGTTAGATCCAATTGTGTAAATGCGTCGAGCTTGAGCGAGCCTAAGGCTTTTTCGTGCTCGAGTTATTCGAATTTTTTGTTATTCGTGTTTGACTCGTATTAGAAATGACTGGTAACTTGTCTCTTCGTGTTCAACTCGATTCAAACTCATTTCTTCAAATGAAGCTCATGTTTGGCTTGAAATAATAATTTATTTAAATTTAATAAATCAAATAATATATTTAAATTAAAAAATATTTTTTTACTTTAAAATTTCTCAAGTAGAGATTAAAAACTCAAATTCACTTTTACAGCCACATAACTCGTGCCCACGTTAGGCGTGAAATTGGTTTTCGAAAAATTGAGGTTCATTCTTACATTTTAAAGAGCAAATGTTAAAGTGCTTATTCAGTAATTCCTGATTTTGTATTAAAAGAGGGCGGACTGTGTGGCTGGAAGCAGAGGGAAGGTTGGACTACGAGGTGCAGTGATATATTTTTGGGCATTTACAAACATAACGCTCAATTCTTATGTATTTACATATCCAACAGATTATTTCTTGGCGGGACCGCGGATGGCGTGATGGGGGGAGAAAGGGTGGGACAAAGCTACAACGATTAATTTATTAGCAACATTTACGTATATATCATCCTATTCTTCTGTATTTACATATCCAACATAAAAAAAATTATTTTTCATTTGTAATCCTAGCTCAAATTATTTAAAATTTAATAAAGTTTAATATTTTTTTAAGTACAATGTAAAAATTTAATATATAAATAATATACTATTATTATTTATTTATTATTTAATTAATTCGAGTCAAATCGAGCTGAACATGAATGAACAAACTTTTTTGTTTATGTTTGATTTGTTTATAAATCGAGCTTAAAAAAATTTGTTTGTGTTCAGCTCATTTGTTTAACGAATGAATCTAACTAGGGCTATTCGGCGAGCCAAACACGAACTGTTCGTGAACTATGAGATTTTTTTGACAATCTTAATTAGACCCCTCTGGTGCAACAAAGGTATAACAAAGGAAGACAATTCAATGAGATTTATTTTGCTCTAGATGTCATCTTGATTTTTCTAACCAGGATCAAGTAAAATATTAGTTGGCCTAAATTGTCATAAATTATGTATTACACTTCAAACTTTCTAATATTCTTCATAAATAATGAATTGAAAGCACACAAAATAATCATCAAAATATATTGTAAGAATTTTTAAATAGCTTCAAATATAAATTTATGTGCACCAAAGCTTTTTAATTGAAATCTTTCATACATTTTTTCTGTAATGCCTCTAGAACTATACAACTAAAATACTATAATATAGACAACACTAGTCATCGGGTTACTGTTTCTTATTCACTTTCACCTGCTTCTTTCTTTTTTCTGAAACGCCAATCATATCAATGAACATTATCTCACAATGATTTTTTCTTAAATTTTGATACCCATTTTTTGTGTATAGTAAATATCAATTTTTGTATTGATAAAGTTTTCATAGGATGGATAAGATAGTACATTGATCATACAAAAAAAAAACAAACTTGATCAAAGAGATGAGCTAGGTATCAACTTTGCCTATATACTGCAAATTGTTTTCTTAATTTTTTTTGTTTTACTATCATTTTTAAAGATACAAGAGAACCGTAGAAATAAATATATACCAAAAAAATTTTCTCTTTGCCCACATTAAAGTATGGGGATGAGCTTGTCAAACTGAGCTCATGGCAAACTTGCTAGATGGGTTGAGAATGGAGCTCATTAGCCAAGGTCTCGGATAGGCTTGCTAGTTATGTTCCAAGTGAACTTACCTATCAATTCCTATATGGACTCATCAATTGAGCTCAAGATGTATTTGCCAACCAACTGCAAAGGAAATATCCTCTTAGGCTTACAAGGGACTCACTGAATTCCGTCATTAAACTTGCCTGATAAGCCAATATTAGGGGCTATTTGACAATCATCATCAAAAGACTCAGTGACTCCTCCATAGTCGTTGACCTACCACTAGTTTTACTTCGAGTTCCGTAATTGTGCTGCATGTCCCTATTTTTTTTCTATTTTAAAAAAATTTAATTACATGCATAACTTATTCCGTAGCTCTCTGAGTTTCTAGATCACTCTCTCTAAATAAGGGAATTTAAGAATAGTAAGTGGTTATGAGTTCTTTATTCATTTATTTTGTACCCTTATGTTGGTATGCAATTTCCCCTCTTCTATATTTATCACTTTTTTCCTCAGAATTAGTAAGATTCTGGTGTAGCCTACCGACAAAATAAGGCCTAACAACATGTTATGACTCTTCATCGTTCTTATACTATGAGCATGATTTATTCATATTGCTTATTTCTAGAGGTAAGCCGGATGAGCTCTCTATATATGCCCTTAGGAAGCACCTTCTTTTGTTGCGCTTAACCATCCATTCCATGCTAGTAATATTTTCGATATCATTTTAATCCTCAGATTATGAGGTGCTAAAAATGCATCCTTAATTGCAAAGGAAAAGCTTTTTCTAGCCTATTTTGTAACATCTCAAACTCTCACCCATTGAGATTATGTTCACTTTGGTCTAATGGCCTCACTATTTTTGCCTCATTGGTGTAACTTTATAGGAGGTTATCCATGTTAGAAGTGCGTAAACACATTGAACTTTGGAGTTTCTATCGAAGTTCAAACTGTTACCCCAAAAGATGCCTCAATGTTTAAGTGTTCGGTTTCATTCTACTTAAGGGGTTTTCTAATTTTCCCTACTCGAGTAACTGTCTTTCTCGTCAGTGTTCTAAACCAGAATAGTTCACTTGATAGATAAGATTCTAGAGGTGCCCCTTACATATTAAAAAAGTAGGTCCCACAATGTTGTTCTATCTTGGGTTCAAGAGGTGGCTCTCATGGCGTAACACTTAGTTTTGTATAAAACTTAGTTCTCATCTTAAGTTGGTATAATGCTTTGATACCATTTGTACAACCTGAACTCTCACCATCGTGATTTATTGTCCCTTTTGGCCTAATGGCCTCATAGTTTTTGCCCCATTGGTGTACTTCCAGGAGGTTACCCATCACAAGAGTGCTCCTTGCGAGCAAGCTTAACTTTGAAATTGCTATTGAAATTCCAACCGTTACACCAAAAGGTGTTTCAATGTTTAGGAGTTAAGCTTCTTTCTACTGGAGGGGTTTCACATATTTGCTTTGAAGTTTTTTTTTCTTTTTATCATGTGATATTAAAGGCCAGTAGTTGTAGAAATGGCATGATGTTGAATTTCTATCAAAATTCTAGCCATTACACTAAAAGGCATTTCAATGTTTATAGGTTCAACTTCATTCTCCTTAAGGGGCTTCACATATTTGCTTTAAAAATTTTTGTTCTTTTATCATCTGATGATTAATGAAGGCCTGTAGTTGTAGAAATGGCATAATGTTGCTGTTTAAGGGTAGTTTCTAATTTCATAGTTGTGTAATCTTTTGTTGTAATCAGGTTGTGTTTATTTCTCCCTTCAGCATTAAATGATGGCAATTTTTTTATGAATAGAGATTGTTTGATAATGTTTGGAGCAGCTTTTTTTGTCTCCTTAAAAGCTACTTTCTCAGCCATAGGTTCTATTATGGTTTTCTTAAATCATCTTTTTCAAAGAAATATTTTACATTTTTTTTTTTCTGTTGGCTTCTTCTTCTATCAAAAAACAGTTTAAAATTTACTCGAACAAATCTTTGTTCTTGTGCAGGTCTTCTACTAAAGCTTGAGAAACGAATTGCTGAAATTCCAATTGAATCCAAAGAGCTTGGCTTTACTCGACCTGGACACTATATCTATGAGTTCCTCTCTGATTTGAACATTACAGATAAGACATCAAATATGCTAATTGATACAATTGAAAATGCTTCTTTACTTCTTGAGGAAGGTAAACTTTACCATTTCGTATTATTTTCTTTCCTTCATCTTTTTCTTTATCGTTTAATTTTTCTGATGATCTATTTGAGCGATTATGATTGCCCGTGAAAGTAACTATAGAATTATTATGAAAAAAATAGATTTTTTTAGTTATGAGTACCTCAAATTAATTTTTTCTTTTTAAAAAATTAGACATAATTTGTTTCAGTTACCACTCTCATATATATATA